GGGGCGAAATGTCCCAATCTGAGACTGTCACATCTTCCAATTTTTTTTGAGAAGCCAAATACTTGGACATATATATGAAATCTTGTAATATTTAAAATCTGACAACTAATTTTTTAAACATTGTGCAAACCCACAGGACACCTCCATTTATGAGGATGATGAGGGTCAGCATTTGGAATGGGGAGGAGCAGGAACCCTCTCGAAGGCCACCGTCACAAGGGCTGCATTGGTGACTAGAGGAGGGTGCTTGTCACCCACTCCAGTCTGTAGTCAAGGGTTTCAGAGCCAGTCCCAGAGGCAGCTCAGGTGCCCACAGTGGGGAGGTCAATCGTGTGAGGGGGTGTGCCCCGCAAGCCCATGGCCCAGCTCCAGCCCGGGCAACCTCCAGTCCATGGGGAGGGCCAGCTCCTTGGAGCGGCTCTCACATTTTCCACCTCGAATTAGGCCCTGTCTTCCCCAGAATACCATTCGGCCCCAGCCAAGCAGAACTGATCTTGCGTCCCGGAGCCTCCTGGAGCCGGCTTTAAACACTCTTCACAGCAGGTTATTGGATCTTGATTTGAGGAATGCATTCAGCTGAGTCATCGTCCCCAAACAATATGAGAAATTAAACGTTGGGCATGCTCCTGATCCCAGAGCCAATTACACGGGCCACTCCCCCCAAGCAGCCCCCGCACCCCCCAGAGAAGGTCCTGCTGAGAAACAGAGCGTGAACCGTTCCCCAGATGAAGATGCTGCACTGGGCCAGGCCCTGCACGGGATGGGGTGGGGGCTTCATAGAAGCCAAGGAGGCACAATCAGCCCCACATTATAGGTAGGGAAACTGAGGCACAGAGCACAGGAAGCCTGCCAGCTCACTTGAGGAAGTGGCAGAGCTAGGAGTGGAAACGAGTTGGCTCTATGCTCCAGAGGTGTGCACTCCAGACCCCGCTCTGCTATAACCGCCCCAGGCGCTCTCAGTCCCATCGCAGCAATCCTTTGGGCATTTCTCTGCATCCTTCAGACTGGCTTTGGAGGGGGTGCAGGCTCCTCATTTTGGTGCAATGGCCCAAGAGACAAGACTTGGGGCCATTCCAGTGCTGAGGGTGTTTCTATCAGATGTGACAGTACGGGGCAGTGGTGAGAGGCCTGGACTCAGTCAGATTGCCTGGAGTCAAAACCCACCCTACCATGTATTTGACCATGTGACCTCACTCCTTCAGGTTTCCCCGTCTGTAAAGTGGGGCCGTATAACCCATGGCGAGTGTTTAGAATGCTGCCGGAACACAGTGTTTAGAACTACTTTCATATCCCGCCTAAATAATCGACCAAAAACACGTGCGGTGCCAGATGACCCTGCCTTCCTCTCCGATGTGACACGTGAAAGCCAGCTCCTCCCATTCACACCTTTCACACCTGATGTTGTTAAGGGGGACAGTTTGGTAAAATTGCTCTCCGTCCCCCTCCACTGACCTGGGTCCTCCTGAGAGGGGTGTTGCGACCCGGGTAAAGTCAGGCTGCAGATCTGGTAAGGTCTCAGGACCTTGCACGGCGTCAGGAGGTCAGAGGGACAGAGGCTCTAACGCCACTTGTTATGGCTGAAGTGCGTCCCCCCAACACTCATGCACTGAAGCCCCAGCCCCCAGCACCTCTGCAGGGGACTGCATTTGGAGATTCGGCCTTTACAGAGGTGACTAAGGTGAAAAGAGGCCATTGGGGGTCCTAATCTAATCTGACTGGTGTCCATATAGAGAGGAAATTCGGACCCAGAGAGACACCAGGGACCCCACACACAAAGGGAAGACCACTCGAAAAGGCAGCAAGGGGGTGGCTGACTGCAAACCCAGGAGAGGGGCCTCAGAGGAAACCAACAGTGGACCCCTTGATCTTGGAATTCCAGCCTCCAGAACTGTAAGAAAATAAACCCGTTGTTGAAGGCCCCCATCTGTAGTACTTTGTTATGGCAGCCCTGGCAAACACATATATCACTGGCCATGCGTTCACCCGTCATATCACCGTGCTCCAGTGCTCTGGGTGGGTGGACCTGCAGGTCTCAGAGCTCTGCTGCTTCAGGGCCATGCTTGGGCTGGCATTGAGCTTGGCAGCAACTGAGGACCCTGTGTCCAAGGTCTCCTTCCCTAAATTCTCAATGGTGACACCTCTAAGGTGGGGGCTTCACTGACCCACAAACATCAGGGTGCAGTTACTGAGGGAGGAAAAATGGGTATTGGTAGCAACCAGTCACCTGCTACCCTGTACCATCAGTGAAGAAACTGAGGATCAAGGAGAAGCTGTGACCTGCCCAAGGTCCACAGCCCACGTGTAGCAGCAGTGGGAAGGTAAGACTAGACTTTGGCCACACACAATGAACTCTGTCACCACGTTAAAACTCCAGGAACCCGGCATCCTGCCACTCCTCTGCCTAATGCCTGTTCCCACCCAGACACCACAGAGGAGATGTGGTCCAAGCAGGGCTCTTCAGAAAGACTGAAAATCTGACTAACACACGTCAGTGAGGATGTGCCGGTGGGAATGAAGGCCGGCACAGCTTCTTGGAATGGGTGTGTTAGTTCAGATTAGGTTCAACTGTAAGAGAAACATCAAAAGTGGTTTGAACAAGATAGCCACTCATCTCTCTCGCACGTTCCAAAAGTCATCTGAAGGTAGGATGTCTGGGGTCGTTACAGATGAGCTACAGTGTCTGTGACATAGGCTCTATCCTGTTGCACTTCAGTGAGAAACGTCCATTCCCCAGATTACCCTATGGTTCGAGATGGCTGCTGTCACTCCAGCCATTATAAGCACATCCCACTCAGCCCGAAAGAAAGGCCACCTCCTATCCCTAAGGAAGTTGCATGCATACTTACATCCATTGGCCAGAACCCCACCTGCAAGGAAAGTTAGGAAATGCAGTCTTTATTCTGGACAGCTGTGTATCCAGCTAAAAATCAGGGATTCTCTTTCAATGGAGAAAAACAGCATATATTGGAGGACAACTATTAATCTCTGCAGAAGACTTGTAAGAGTAATTAAAACTGATTAAGACTGTGTGCTCCAGCAATTCTACTTGCATGAGTTACCAAAAGCAAATTTGTAAGGATTGTTGATGTTGCCCTGTTTGTTGCTGGAAAATCTTTCAGAAACAAAAGTCCACCCCGAGGGAAGTGGTTTATAAATTGCCATATATCCACATGTATGCAGCTGCAGGGGTTAAGCAGTCCTGCACTTGACATGGAATGATCTCCAAGATCCACTGGAGCTATAGAATATTAGCATTAAGAAAGAGGGATGATATACACATCCATCGGTGTGAACACAGGATGGCTCTGGAAGGTTATAGAGACCCTGGGTGCTTCAGGAGGGTGACGAAGGAATTCAGTGCCACACAGGGAGATTTATCGTTCACCAAATACCCTCCTGTACTGCATGAACCTTTTTTTTTTCTTGCCATGTACATATATGACCTATTTTTTAAAAACAAAAATTACAAAAATGGCCGGGCATGGTGGCTCACGCCTATAATCCCAGCACTTTGGGAGGCCAAGGTGGGCGGATCACGAGGTCAGGAGATCAAGACCATCCTGGCTAACATTGTGAAACCCCGTCTCTACTAAAAAGTACAAAAAATTAGCTGGGCATGGTGGCAGGTTCCTGTAGTCCCAGCTACTCGGGAGGCTGAGGCAGGAGAATGGCGTGAACCCAGGAGGAGGAGCTTGCAGTGAGCCAAGATGGCGCCACTGCACTCCAGCCTGGGCGACAGAGCAAGACTCCATCTCAACAATAACAACAACAAAAATTACAAAAATGGTCTCTTTTCTTCTGTTGATGCCTCTCTGCTCATTCACTGCACCCAGCAAACCTCAGCTGACACTGCCATCTTGGACTGCATGTGGATTTGATGGTCAAATCCCTGCTGGCCCCCAACCCTTACCCTGCTCACTCAGAATGCCATGAGCTTGCCTTCCCTGATTACTAGGTTTTTACGTGAGCTGAGAGGCCTCAACAAAGTATGCCACTCAGAGGCACCCTGCAGTCCCCGCTGCAGCCCAGGAGTCGAGCTCACTGGCCATACTGTCAGCCCTGCCCACTAGCAACCCTCCTGGTCCTGGATCCCAGGGAGCCTGACACACTGGCGCCACAGACATGAGCTGTGTTGGAGCTGGTGCCCTCGGCACCCCGTTCCCGCCTAAATAAGGGCCAATCGTGGAGGCAAGCAACAGCCTGACCCTCAGGGTCCCCATGGCCGGGGCTGTGACCTCCTCAGGCTCTGAAGCATGCAGTTGGCTGTGTCCTGGGTGGGCCCCTGCTCTCCAACACTGGGGATTACACTGGTAGCAACTCCCTTTCACTCTGGCTGCCAAAAAGCTCAAAGCCGAACTCAGGTACAAGGGCAGTGGCAGGGACACGTGGGCCCCTCTCCCCTACTCACGCCTTATGATCCCAGTGCTTTGTTCTGATTTACTCCCATTTTTAGCCAACCACACCCATCCTTATGACAAACATCATTCCCCGCATCCTGTCTGCTGAGGGTTTACTAGTGCCAAGCACTATTCTCGAGGCTAAAAATAAGAGCTATCCTTATCGTTCATGACTGTACGCCAGCCACTCACGCTTAGTGTTTTCCAATCCTTACAAAAGGCCCTGCAGGATGCGTCTTCTCCGGATTTTACAGATAGCAATAGTAAGTCCATTCTGAGTTTTACTGGAGCTGAGCAGAGGGAACCCGCTGCTCAAGACAACAGTGTGTGTCTCTGACACAGAAGGGAGAGGGGCTGGCTCACAAAACATAGTTCTCCTCTCTCTCCAATGTGTCCCCACGACTCAGATGGGCCCAGGGGCAGGGGCAGCTGGGATCCTGTTTCTCTCCACCTCCCCAGCAGCCAGTCCAGGGCTTGGGCAATGGGGATTGTTCCTTAGTTGAGCAAACAGAGGCCCCCTGAGCCTCCCAGCCCCTCACCCAGCCCTCAGGCTCCTGAAAGGAACCAGCGCCAGTATTCCTGCAAAACCTCCACATTAGCACCTTCTGCTCCTTTTCGTTTTTATTAAAAAATAGATCAAGAAAATATACACACTTCAGTCCATCCACCACAGTGGGCTTTGAGGAGGCCAAAGCACCATGGGGATGGGATGGAGGCATTGGGAGAGCCAGCCCTGCCCTCGTGCCAAGGATGCAGAGAAGGAGGGTGCCCTCAGCCAACCTTGCCAAGCATGGCCCTGGAAGGAAAGCCTGGGCCATGTCGCTGAGCAGTATGAGACCAGATGGGAAGGGAGGAGAGTCCCCAGTGAGAGCAGAGATGGCAAAGGGGATTGGGAGCCCCAGGGAGGTGGGGCCTCCAGACTCATGGTGGGAACAGGGCTATACAAGGCTACCGCCCACAGAAGGTCCCTTGACCTGGTCCTCCTCCCCCGGGGACTCTGGGCCTGCTGGCCTCCATTCTGGCCTGTCCTCTGCAGGCCCTGGCAGCTGCTCTCAGGCATTGATGGCCTTCCAGCGCTCACTGTCCGTGCTGTTGATGCTGCCAGTGTGGCAGGGCATGGAAGCAATATCATCCAGGTAGGCCACCCCGCCCGCAGAGTCAAACTGTGTGCTTGAGTAGCTGGCAGCTGAGGCCCCAGCAGCCCCTGGAGCCTCCAGGCCCTCCCGCCGGGCCACAGCGTAGGGCTGGGGTAGGTGTACATCCGGCTCCTCTGTCTCGTCCACTTGGCATTTGTAGGAGAAGAGGATCTTGGGCTCTGAGCTGACAGGAGGGAGACAGGGGCACAGGAGCCTCACTGAGTGACTCAGGAACAGTCTTCCCTCCAGGCCAATGGGGCCACCAGATAAGGAAGGAATCGGCCAACAGTTGCCTGACACCCACCCCAAGCAGGCCTGTCAGCTGGACCCTGGTGCCCATCTAGACTTGTTTTGGAACCCAGCCCTCCTCCCCCGACTGTGTGAGCTCAGGCAGGGGGCCTCTGTGCCTGCTTCCTCATGGTGAAATGGGTGCGTGGACACCGTGTGGAGGAAGAACGACATAAATCATAAGCCTTCAACAGCGCCTGCCCAAGCGCTCAGGAAACATTGGCTGTGGCCTCCGCCCCACTCCTCTGACCCCTGCTGCTCATGTTACCGCCCGCTCCACCCTGATCTGGTCCCTCGGCCCTCAGGGTAGCTCTCCAAGGGGGACACACTACACCCAATTTACAAAAAGGAGCCTGAGGCTCAGGAGAGAAATTGTGTCTGCAGATCCGAGCTGTGGCTGTGGGCCAGTCTGACCCTCTGCCAGCTTCACCCGGGGGGAGGCTGAGCCCCTCCCCACAAGACCTGGCAGGTGAGAAAGGAGGGGCAAAGCACCTACATTCCAACCACATTAGAGGCCTGGAGTGGGACCCCCAATCCCACGTCTTCAGCATCCCATCTCACAGATGCTTCTGCAGATGCACATGTGCATAGCAGTGTACTCACCCCCAGAGAATCCAACTGACTTCCCACCCCAAACCTGCTCCCCTCTTAAGTCTTCCCCCAGCAGGGTACAAGCTCCATGAGGACAGGGATTTGCATCCACTGTGGGCCTCGCATCTTCTGGCTCTAGCAGTGTCTGGCACACAGTAGGTGTTCAATGAATGCTTGCGAATGAATGAGTTCATATATTATTAAATAAAAACCAGCAATGTAGGACAACGTGCACAGTCACTCTATCTCTCATGGTGAGAGTATGTCTGTGTGTACTGTACATACAAGGTGCATATATATGTATGCATATATGTGTATGTGCATATATCTACATGTATGTATATATTGAGCGCCTGTGTGTTCATGTGTGTATGCATGCATGTGGGCGTGCATGTTTGTGTGCATGTGCCTGTGTGTATCCGTATGTGTATGTTTGTGCATGTGTGCATGCTTGTGCATCTGTGCGTGCATGTGCACGTGTCCATGCACATGTGGGTGAGTGTGCATATATCTGTGTGTATGTGCATGTGTATCTGTACGCGTGTGCCCATGTGCAAGTATGTGCATGCACATGCACACTGAATGCATCCACAGCCCCTCTGTTTCAATCCTCACACCCATTCTGGAAGAAGGCGCAGTTCCGCCAGCAGCCACGCGGGGGCGCCGGCGGCCACAGACTCACCCAAAGAAGCCCCGGAGGAAAGCCACGTAGATGAGCGGAGCAAAGAAGCTGAAGTACAGGAAGGTTGTGGCATCTACACAGCTGCGGAGAAGACAGGTCAGCGCAGGGCCTCCCAGCCCTATGCTGACTCCACACCTCCCCATGCCCCCAGTGGGTGGACACCCTGCCGCCCACTTCCCATGCCCCCACGAGGTAGACACCCTGCAGCCCCCACGCACCAGAGCCCCTCGATGATGTCCAAGCAGAGCAGCACACTCCCCAGCCCCTGCAGTAGGTTGAGCAGTGCCAGGATGCCCGCATACACGTAGAAGCTCCTCCGAGCTGGGGGCCAGACAGGGTGGGTCGTGAGGTCCCACCCTGGCCAGGCCAGACTCTGCCTCCAGCATCTACCACCCTCAAGCCTGGTGTGTCCCTCGGGGCCCCCCTAGGCCTCCCTTTCACCCAGGGCTCTCCAGCTCCCAGCCACAGTGGCCCAGTAGATGCCCTCCCGTCCCCGCCTGTCCCAGAGCTGCTGGCCAGCTGCTCACAAGGCAGAGAGATGCGCTCCTTCAGCGGGGTCTTGGGAAGGACGACCACCAGAGAGTAGACCTACAGAGACAGGCAGGGCTGAGACAGTGCTGGGGGCGCCAGCCCTGACCCACAGCCAGAAACCCAGGCATCCAATCCCCTACCTGGCCCTGAGGCCCCAGCCACCCCAGTTGCCCCAGCCTGAACCTCACCAGGAAGAAGAAGCAGGAGCTGACCAGCCAGAACTGGCGGCCCCCGTGGCCATAGATATTAAAGTCCTCAGCTGAGAGATGGGCATCAGGGTACAGGATCTCCAGGGTGCCCTGCAGGGGCAAGCAGGAAGGGATGAAGGGAGAGGATCTCAAGGCTCCTCCCTCCCAGGGGCTTTCCCTGATGCAAAGCCCCCTAAGCTCTCTAACACACCAAGTCCAGCCTCTTGGCCTGACCCTCAAGTCACCTGCCCCAGCCTGCTCCCAGGCCACGTACTGCCCACCTGATTACAGCATCCGGAGCTGGCCCAGTCTTGGGCTGAGTCACACGGGGCAGGCGGCAGAGATGGACGAGGTGCAGTACCTCCCCCCAATCTAAGAAAGGGGCCTCTAGATGCATGCTTCTCAGGGAGGTCTGCGGACCTGCACTGTCCCTACCTGAACTCCTTATTAAAATGGCAAGTCCTGAGCCTCCCGCCCTGGTGCCCTGGCCTACTGGATCCGAATCTCCAGGGGACCCCAGAATGTGCCTCGGTAACAAGCATCCCATGTGATTTCTCAGGTGCAAAGTTTTGGGAACTCTGAAGGTGACAAAGACTGGAAACCTCACCCAAGCCCAGAAGCAGTGGGTGCCTGGTGCCCTGACCCCTGGCATCTCCTGCCCAAACCCACCCTCTTACCTGGGTGACAGAGTAGGCCAGAGACAGCACTGTGGTGATGGCCAGCACCCGCTTGATGCTGGACTTGCTCTCCAGGTGGCCTGGAAGAAACGTGCTGGTCAGCAGGCAGGAGCCAGCCCAGGTGACCACGCCAGAGTCAGCCCACAGCCAGGGAGGGGCAGGGGAGAGCGTTGCCGGGGCCCCGGAGCCCAGCGGTACACACACCAAAGGCCAGGCCCAGGATGATCACACTCAGCTCGATGGCCAGCAGGAAGAAGCGGGTGATCTCCCACAGGATCTGCACGCAGAGTGGGCACAGCGTCAGCCCAGGCCAGCATCCCCAGCCCACCCCAGGCCAGGCCTCCCTGGCCTCCCTCAGAGGGCCCAGCCGCACCTTATCAGCAACAGTTGCAGCGTTCGAGGTGCTCACCGTCATGGATACCACGGCCCGGGCAATGCCCACCAGTGCCACCACAAACACCTGGTGGGCAAGGGAGTGGCGTGGTAGTCAGGGAACAAGAGCCTCTGCATCAGCAGGGGCAGTAAGCTCATCCCCATATCTATAGGAGCCTTTGGTTCCTGAGGTTGGAAAGGAGGAAGGGGCAAGTCAGGGTGGGACACAGGGAGGGGGGGATCAGGCTCCAGGGAGCAAGGCTCACAGACTTGCAGACCCTCAACTGCAGGTGTCCTCCAGCCTGGCCCTCCCCTCTTGGGGCCCCAGTTTCCTGGCTAGGAACAACAGCCTTGGGCTGGTGAGTAGGGGTGAGCACGGTGGAGCCAGATGGGCCAGGTTCACATCACAAGTAGCAGGCTGCTGCTTCCTGGCTCTGTACCTTAGCCTTCTCATCTATAAAACGGGGGCAGAAACAAAACCTACTGCATTTGATTGTTGGGTCAAATGGGTTAACAGATGCAGCAGAAGACTGCCTGGCACCCAGGAAGGGCCAAGTATACATTTGCTGTTATTATCATATTCATGGTTTTAATTCTGAGGCACGCGGGACCAGGCGAAAGGTCACCGACAACAGGTGCCAAGACCTCTAGGGAAGCCACTGGCCCAGCAGGTTTCGCAAAAGGGCCTGCTCAGCATCTGTGGCACTTATCGGCCTGGTATATCCATCCCCTTCCTCTCCCTCCTCACCCCGACTTCAGTGGTTCCAGGTGAGGCTGAGTCCCCCGCTCCTGGTTTCAGGGATGGGCCTAGGACGCAGCACTGGCCAGTGGTGTGTGTCATTCCCCTGGCCTGAGGGCTGGTTCAGGGAAGTGCTTGGGACCCACGGGAGCCCCATGAGAGAGAACCAGGATGTCAGGTGCAACTGCTGGGAAAGGCAGACCAAGGGCATGCAAACCTGGAACCATGGACGCCACCCTGCTGCCACAAGGGCAGATGGCAAGAGAGCAGGGCCATCGGGGAGATCTCAGGCTAAGTGGGAGATGGAGATGGTGCCCCAGCACCACTGCTGTGCCCCAAAATCCTGCTGTGCCTGAGGCCCAGGAACTGCCCAGTTTCTCAGTCAGAAACTGGCTTCTGTGAGTCTCAGTTGGGTTTTCTGACACATGCCCAGATCCATATATACTCTGTCTTTTATGCCATGAGAAATTGTGTCAGCAGGGCAGGCAGCAAAAGCAACAAACTGCCAAATGCCTACTGTATGCCAAGCTGCCACTGGGCTGCAGCTATGCAGATGACCTCATAGGTGCTCATACGAACTCCATAGCTAAAGCAGATCAACATCTATTACGCAGAAGGGCACTGGGGCACAGAGAGACCAAGCCACTGGCTCCAGGTCACACAGCAGCATGGCTGGGGTTCAGAGCTGGACTTCCTGAGTCCACTCTTACCACTGCCTCCTGAACTGTTTAGGACAAAGCCCTCAAAAGTTGATGGGCTGGGCCCTGTTCTATGTTCCTGGACATTTAGCCCTGGCTCTTTCTTCCTGCCTGCACTCCCCCTTATCCCACAAAAGGACATCTGCCTAGCATACAGTAGATGCTTAATATCTGTTGAATAAATACACAAATAAGTAAATGGGGAGAGAAGCAGAGAAGAAAGCAGGCCTCAGCTCCCAGTCCTGTCCATCACCATCTTGCAGGTGTCAGGGCCATCAGGCCACTACAGCCTCCAGGCTTCCCCAGTCCCTTGTCTGTCTCTCTGCCTGCCCACAGCCCACTCCTCTGACTGGGAAGTTCTGGGCTAGACCACAAAGAGGCGACCAGGGAGCCACTCGGCTCTCATGTAGTGGTATCTAAGGGTGGACTCTAGCCAGGCAGGCCCTGCAGGCAGGGTAAGGGCGCCCTGAAGGAAGGGAGCTGGACAGCCCACACCCGAAGCCCATACCTGGACAGCCCGCACCGAAAGCCCACACCAGGACAGCCCACACCTGGACAGGCTGCACCTGGACAGCCCTGAAGTCCACACCTGGATAGCCTGTCCCTGAACAGCCCATACCTGAAGCCTATACCTGACAGCCCCCAACCAGACAGCCTGCACCTGGATAACCCCCACCTGAAGCCCATTACCTAGACGGCTCATACCTGAAGCCCGCACCTGGACAGCCCATACCTGGGTAGTCCACACCTGAAGCCTTCTGCAGCCCACACCTGCACAGCCCAGACCTGCGGCCCGTATCTGGAACCTGCATCGAGACTGCCCACACCTGGAACCCACACCTGAAGCCTATACTCAGAGCCCACACCTGGAGCCCATACCTGGAGCCTATACCTGGACAGCCCACACCTGGAGCCCACACCTGGAGCCTATACCTGGACAGCCCACACCTGAAGCCCACACCTGGAGCCCACACCTGGAGCCTATACCTGGACAGCCCACACCTGGAGCCTATACCGGACAGCCCACACCTGGAGCCTATACCTGGACAGCCCACACCTGGAGCCTATATCGGACAGCCCACACCTGGAGCCCACACCTGGAGCCTATAACGGGACAGCCCACGTTTGGAGCTGCCTTCTCAACCACAGCCCTGACACCTCTCCCCAGGCAACATGTGCCAGGACCACCAAGTGGTGAGAATGCAGGCTCTCCCAGCAAGTAAGATGTCTTCTCCAAAGAGGTTTCACAGAATGGACAGACAAGGGACGAAAGGTTGGAGGATGCAGTGGGCATTTTCCCTACCCAGCATCCATTCCCCTCCCCTCTAGTATCAGGCTCCCCAGTTCTGTTGTAGGGACCACCTCCCTCAGTCCATATGGTCCGGCTGAGCTGATGCTGCCCTCCCAGCTTCACAGAGCCCCTTTCCTTCCTAGCCACAGTGCTTGGCTCAGGGATGAGGATGGGATCCTAGGTGGGCCAGTCAGAGGAAATCCCAGGTCTACACTGGCACTATCAGCAAACAGGCACTGTCTGCCTGAGTTGTAGAGGCAGGACGTTAGCTCAAAGCTGTTCTTGGCCATCTTTGACACCATATGAGGGGAACTCATCAGAGATAAGTCCCAAAGACAGCAGAGATGCAGAAACAGATCTTAACGGCATCATTTAACTGCCTGGATCCAGCCATACCTGAAGCTCATTTTCATTATAGAAGCAGCTAATTCCTTTTTGTTTCAGTTGTATCGTTGGCTTTTCTGTCAACTGCAGTGAACTCACCAGGATGTAGAAGGTGATAAAAATGGGGCTGGAGGTGATGCGGATCTTGGCCCGAGCAGATGGAAGCTTCCAGAGCAGGAAGATGAGGAAGAGCACATTGGGGATGAGCAGCAAGAGGTCCCAGTACCGGACCCTGGCAGACAGGCACAGGAGCTGGCTCACTGGCGAGGCCACATATGCACCCTCTCTCCAGCACACAGTCTGGCCCACCCTCACCACTCCCCGACTCCAGGAAAAGCCACTGACACTCAGCAAGCCTGTCCAGTGTTGTGACTGCCTCACCTGGAGGTGCCAATGTCTTCATAGAGCAGCAGCAGGCAGCGATGAGGCACACTGATGTTTGGTGCCAGGGGTGGGGGTAGCGCTGTGCTCCCATTGGCCCAAGTCGCCTCCTCCAGGGTGTCCATTCTGCCAGCAGCCAGCCCTGTGGGAGTGAGAGTCACCCAGTGAGCCGTGCAGGAGCTGTGTGGCCTGGGCCACTGTCCTCCTTCCTCTGGACCTGGGACTCCCAGGGGAAAATCAGAGGGGCTGCACAGAGCACCCCTGTAAACCACCCTCCCTACCTATTGCAACTCAGTGTGGGACTCCACAGAGGTCACGACCCAATCCCCCATCTCAGGCTCTATCTCACGATCCGCAAACAATCACAAAGCCACCCCCTCAGCTGAGCACCTCCTGTGTAAGGCACAGCCACTTGGCTCCTTTCAGTCCTGAGGGCCCATGAGAGCAGCATGGGTGAGAGCACAGGCTCTGGGTTCACAGCCCAGCCCTGCCCTTTCCTTCCTGTCCTCTCCGTGCCTGTGTCCCCCACCCATGGAATGGGTGTAACAAGTAAGGCTGTGGTGATGCCAAGTGCCTCAAACAAGACACACACGGGGAGTTCTTGGGAGCGGTCAGCCGTGGTTCCGACCCGCCACACCATGCAGAACTCAGAGGCCACTGACTCGTATGAGGCCACGGAACTGCTGAGGGCCACAGCTGGGCACCATGCCCTCCTCAGTTGCACCCTCTGGCCCTTATCTCCCTCTGCCACCACAGACAAAGATGGAGGGGACACTGAGCCGTGCCTGGGAGATGCACAGGAGGTCTCCAAGTGGAGATGGGCATGGGGGAAGAGGCTATACCACAGAGGGGCAGGGCAAGCTGTGTCTGCAATGGTCAGGCTACAGGGCGAAGCCAGGGACAGGGTGGGCCCATAGGCAGGGGCCCACATGACACTCTGAGCACGAGAGGTTGAGTCTAGCCTGGAAGACAGGAGAGCTGGTGGTCTGGGGTCCTGGGAACCACTCTGGGGTTGGAGGACTGAGGGTCTGGTCAGAAAACCAAGACTGTTGAGCTAGAGGACTCTCAGGGAATAGCAACAGGTACTTCTGCAGGGAATTTGGGGTGATCCAGGTGTGGCCTGGGGCACCAGAACATAACATATGCCAATATTTAGAATGATTTGAACAGATTGGGCCAGATGCCTGTGACTCTGCTTCACCAGGAATGCTCATAAAGCCTGTGGATGAAAGCTCCAGGCGGGAAGCAGCCCCAGAGCATGGGCATAAGTGGTCGACACTGCACAGCATAAAAAGAACGACCCACTGCTACAGGCAACACGAATGACTCTCAGAAGTGATATAGCGTGAAGCCAGGCACAAGGGCCGACAGGCATACGATCCGTGGACAAATGTAGACGGGGCACCTTTGGGGAGATGAAGAGCGTGGTAATTGGGGGAGGCATGCCAGCTTCTGGTTGTCAGATCCAGGTGGTGGGTACACAGGCATGTTCACTGTGTGGTAATTCATTGAGCCACACACTGATGACTCCTAAGTCGTAGGTGCACTTCAGTAAATTTTAAAAAGTAAAAAAGATGTGGCCGGGCACGGTGGCTCATGTCTGCAATCCTAGCACTTTGGGAGGCCGAGGCGGGCAGATTGCCTGAGCTCAGGAGTTCGAGACCAGCCTGGGCAACATGGTGAAACCCCATCTCTACTAAAATACAAAAAAAAAAAAAAAAAAGATTAGCTGGGCATGGCATCATGCACCTACAGTCCCAGCTACTCAGTAGGCTGAGGCAGTAGAATTGCTTGAACCCAGGTGACAGAGACTGCAGTGAGCCGAGATGGTACCACTGCGCTCCAGCCTGGGCGACAGAGCGAGACTCTATCTCAAAAAAAAAAAAAAAAAAAAAAAGATGTGTCCTGAAAACATATCAAGGGCCCAGGCCTCCCCTTCAGCAAGGAGCTGCCCAGTGAGCTGCATGCCTGTCAGCAAGGTCTGCAGAAACGCAACAGGAGACCTGCTTCTGTTGTTGCCAAAGCCATCCCTGAACAACAGCAGCCCAAGACAGGGCTGGGGGAACTTAGGAATATTCCCATTGCTGGTCCAAGCCCTTAAACACCAGAACACCTCTGGATGAAAGGGAGGGAAGACTCTGAAGGGGGTGGGCCATGGGCTGGGGCTCAGGTTGCTCCAGTGGGCCACTCACTGGCTCTGGGATCAGGTCCCCAACTAAACAATAAGGACAGCAGGGTGCAGTGACTCACACCTGCAATCCCAACACTTTGGGAGGCTGAGGAGGGAGGACTGCTTGAGCTCAGGAGTTTCAGACCAGCCTGGGCAACATAGCAAGACCTCATCTCTACAAAAAACACAAAAATTGGCCAGGCGCAGTGGCTCACACCAGAAATTCCAGCACTTTGGGAGGCCAAGGCAGGCGGATCACTTGTGGTCAGGAGTTCAAGACAAGCCTGGTCAACATGCCAAAATTCCATCTCTAGTAAAAAACACAAAAATTAGCCGGGCACGGTGGCGTGCAGCTGTAATACCAGCTACTTGGGAGCTGAGGCAGGAGAATCACTTGAATCACTTGAACCCGGGAGGCAGAGCTTGCAGTGAGCTGAGATCGTGCCACTGCACTCTAGCCTGGGCGACAGGGCAAGACTCTGTCTAAAAAAAAAGAAAAAAAAAAAGGCTGGGCGCGGTGGCTCACACCTGTAATCCTAGCACTTTGGGAGGCTGAGGTAGGTGGATCACCTGAGGTTGGGAGTTTGAGGCCAGACTGACCAACATGGAGAAGCCCCGCCTCTACTAAAAAAAAAAAAAAACAAAATTAGGACCAGGCACAGTGGTTTACACCAGTAATCCCAGCACTTTGGGAGGCCAAGGCGGGCGGATCACCTGGTCAGGAGTTCGAGACCACCCTGACCAAAATGGGAAAACCCTGTCTCTACTAAAAATACAAAAAAATTAGCCAGGCATGGTGGCCCATGCCTGTAATCCCAGCTACTCAGGAGGCTGAGGCAGGAGAATCACTTGAACCCAGGAGGCGGAGGCTGCAGTGAGCCAACATCGTACCATTGCTCTCCAGCCTGGGCAACAAGAGTGAAACTCCGTCTCAAAAAAAAAAAGAAACAAATACAAAAATTAGCCAGGTATAGTGGTGCATACCTGTAGTCCCAGCTAATAGTCAGGCTGAGGTGGGAGGATGGCTTGAGTCCAGGAGTTCAAGGCTGCAGTGAGCTATGATCGTGCCACTGCACTCTAGCTTGGGTGACAGAGTGGGACCACGCCTCAAAAAAGAATTAATTAAAAATAATAAAACGAGGCCATAGCTGCAATCTTCAAGCGATGGGGAATATTAAAGACACATAGCAGATCCTAAGAAGGAAGATGGGTCCTTCCCTACTGTTGGGAGGGGAGCAAAGCAGTCCAGCCTTCATTAACAGAAGCCTTTTTTTTTTTCTTTTTGAGACATCGTCTTGCTCTGTCACCAGGCTAGAGTGCAGTGGCGTGATCTCGGCTCACTTCAACCTCTGCCTCCCAGGTTCAAGCAATTCCCCTGCCTCAGCCTCCCGAGTAGCTGGGGCTACAGGCGCGTGCCACCATGCCCAGTTAATTTTTTGTATTTTAGTACAGACAGGGTTTCACCATGTTGGCCAGGATGGTCTTGATCTCCTGACCTTGTGATCCGCCCACCTCAGCCTCCCAAAGTGCTGGGATTACAGGTGTGAGTCACTGTACCTGGTCAACCTTTTTTTTTTTTGAGATGGAGTTTCTCTCTTGTTGCCCAGGCTGGAGTGAGGTCTGCCAATTTCAGGTCATGCCCTTCTCCCTTCTGGGTGGCTGGAATATGGATAAGACAGTGGGAACAAGAACAGCCTTCTCAGACCATGAGGCAGAAACCCTGTATGAGGGTAACAGAACAGTGAGGAAGAAAGTTTCTGGGTCTCCAGCACAATGGGGACTCCGTGCATGTACTGGACAGCTTGCACAGAGGCTGTTATGCATAGATAAAAATAATCTATTATCTTAGCCTTTGTTTCAACAGCTAGCCCAAATCCCAATGAACATAAAGGTACTGCTTGGACTGGGTGGTCAGACATCTTGAGCCCAGCTCTCAATAAATAAGCAGGAGCCAGTCTTGGAAAGATCGAGATAAAGAACATTCCAGGGAGAATCACATGAGATCCAGATGCACAGGTCCAGAGGTGGGAACAGGTTTGTCCTGCCCCAAGGGCAAAAACAGGCCAGGGTAGCTGATACCAGAAAGGTTGGCAGGGCCAGGTCCCAGATGCAACTCGACTTCACTCTTAAGTGCAACCAGAAGGGTGTTACGAGGAGTGAGGGGTCTGGTTTCCGTGGGGACAGGATGCCAGTGAAAAGGGACAAAGTGGAGGAGAAGCAGAGACAGGGAGGCGATGAGGAGCTCCTGCAACAGTCCAGGCATGAGAGGACAGAGGCTTGCACTAGTGGCAACAGCGCAGGTGGAACAGAGGGATTTGGGAGACCTTTGGGAGGCTCGGCCAACAAGACCCACTGACAGATCAAACACAGGGAATGAGAGAAGAGGCCAAAGAAGGCTGATGGTACAGTTTCTGGCCTGAGCCACTGGATGTTTTACAACTGAGGCCAACACTGCCCACAAGACACTGTCCCCTTCTTCCTCACTAACAAGCTACTATTTTGTTCAGGATCCCTCCATAAAGCCCAGTGTTCAAACGGGCCCCTCCCCAGCACCAGAAATTGAGTCTCCATTAATTTCAGCCAGTGGTCTCTGGGTTGGAGCTGGTGTGGAGCACTGCTCTAGTTTGACATGGCAACTGCTAGGGGATGGAGGACTGTGGACTTTTTTGTGTGCAGGGTCCAGGGCTGCCAAATGTCTGCAATGCATAGGACAGTCCACCAAATGAGTAACTGTCCTCCCCTACAGCTAGCATGCCCTGCAAAGTGGCTCTGGTCAAAGTCAAGAAGGGTGGCCCTTCTGCTCCTGGCCAGCAGTTGGTTGAGGCAAAGGCATGCGATGCCTCATGGAGAGATCTGCGCCTGCGTGGGGCAGTAGAGGGCATGGTGTCCGGAACTGTGTCTTCCTGCACCCCCGGAGGACTGGGCCACCACCTGAGCATGGAGGAGCTTACAGCTGGAAGCGGGTGTGCAGCGCGGCCTCTGCCTGACTTCTGGTGGCAGGAGATAATAACTTGTAACTCCGAGTTGAGAATATTAGCGACCTGATGAAGGAGGGAGATTCTACAGCCCTCTCCTCCCCACCCCTCTTATTTATTTATGTATTTATTTTTGAGACAGAGTCTCACTGTCACCGAGGTTAGAGTGCAGTGGTGCGATCTTGGCTCACTGCAACTTCTGCCTCCCAAGTCCAGCCTTCTGGGTTCAAGCAATCTTTCCATCTCAGCCTCCCAAGTAGCTAGGATCACAAGTGTGCACCACCATACCTGGCTAATTTTTGTATTTTTAGTAGAGACAGGGTTTCGCCATGTTGGCCAGGCTGGTCTAGAACTCCTGACCTCAAGTGATCCACCTGCCTCAGCCTCCCAAAGTGCTGAGATTACAGATGTGGGCCACCGTGACCGGCTATCCCCACACCTATTATAAAGCCAAGCCAGGCAGAACAAATGCCTGGTCCTAACAGCCCAACACCAGCTCTGACTCAGGATGGAATGTCACGCAGCCCCAGGATGGGCAGGGCCAGGGTGCGGGCCAGGCACCCAGCAGTCACCAGGAAGCAGAGCGGCCCCTTGCAGCACAGAAGCCAGTGGGGAGGAACAGGGGCAGGGAGGAGAATGGGGGAGTCAGGCAGAGTCCAGGATATGGAGGGTGGGGTAGGCTTCTGCTGGTTTTGCCTGCCCAGCATCCAGCCTCCTGCTAGTTGGTAAGAGTACTGCTTTCCTGAAGTGGAAACTCAGCTCCCAGACTCTCTGGAAGTTTATGGATGCCTGACTCCAACCCTTCACAACCCAGGGAATGCACCTGTGATCTAAACCTGGCTAGTCAGGATGTTCCATCACCCTGGCCAATGAAAATCTGCCCTGAGACTTTTGCTGTAAATTATTATTAGAATAAATTATTAGAGCAAAAGTCTCAGGGGAGATTCTCATTGATAACTGAGGAAACACTCTCTGCTGACCTCAGTAAGTCAGGGCTGTACCACCTTGACTTCACGCTCAGGGACCCGCCTCAGAGTAAAGCCGACACGGAGGAGTGCAGAGCTGAGACACAGATGGAGACAGATCTTGATGAGCTCACTGGAGCCCCTGGATTCAGCCACACCTAAAGCTAGTCCTACCCCCTTGGATTTTTCAGTTATAAATCCCAACAAATCCCCATTTCTGCCTAGGCCAGTTTGAGTCTGATTTCTCTAATTTACCCCTGAAAAACCTCCAGCTAACACAGGTTATGGAGTCAAGAAGATGGGCTGCACTGCTGGTTCCGCCACATGCTTGCTGTGTGACCTGGGTGAGTCACTCCCCCTCCAAATATCATGGGGAAAACACCTGCCTAATAAGGGGTGCCATAAGAATCAAACAAAACCAGGGAGATAAACATCTACAAAAGCAACACATGTACAAAGGTGGTTGCTGCTTTTCTTTTTTT